TGTTGCAGTTGCAGAGCAGAGTCTGATTTTTGTGTGGGTTAATTCTCAGTTTTTTTTATAGGCCTTTTCCTCATTTTTGCATTTTGCTTTGTAATAATAAATTCAGAAGACATATTTCATGAGTTTTCCTCTTTTAGACAACGTTGAAATTTGTTGCCCCTCCCATTTAAAACCACATTTCCTTTCTAACCACCGGTTTTGTTCTTTCCTTTTCACTTATTTTTTCTTCTTTAATTTATTGTATAGTAAAACAAAAAAGGTAATCTAAAAGTACAACATACAAACGTTTGCATGCGTTTATATTAGGAGCAGTAAATTGTGAAAAGACCACTTTCACTTCGATCACTTATAGTTTACCCTTCTCAACTACATATATACTATGTAAACACAGTTATAGTTTAGAAATATATATACACTGTTTGCAAAATGTTCATATCTGCAAAGTTGTGAAATATATATACACTGTTTGTGAAATATATATACACTGTTTAGAAATATATATAATAATATTGTGGTTGCACTAACATGTAACCAAACCTTCATTACTTCATTACTGCAATGATATTTACCATTTAGCAAAAAAAAAACTAGATAATAATAATCTGTTCATTGCATTTCTATTTAATTCGATCATTAATACTTCGATGGTGCATTTTCTTTTCACCAAGAAATTATGAAGAAGTATATTTTATTACTGTTCAGTTTTATCTTCTGGATCAGTTTTATTCCTTCATATAATATTTACGGTATTATTCATTTTCTTTAATTACAAAGTCAGCTACATCAAAGAGTAATCTTCCAAGCTCCTACTATTTTCAAACGTATCAGAGTTAGAGTAAAAACAATTTATATATTTTCCATGTGGAAGTCACTGAGAACTGATATGTGTAGAAATAAAAATGTTAATCTAGATTTGAGGTCATGTGGCCATCCCTAAGCTTATAGCAAACGTTAATTACTTTCCTGTTATTTACAAGCAAAACCCATTAATAGACAATATTAATGGGTTTTGGTTTTGCTTATTAATAGACTATAGACATTAGCTCTTAAGATTATCATTAGATGAAATAATTAATCTTTGAGTTCTTGATTTTCTCTAATCTCCTCATAGGTTATATGATAAATGGGTTAATAGAAATAGACAATATGACAACTTTTAGTCTCTAATTTATTTTTATAATATTGAAAGTTCACGTCTAATACTAAAGCCAACTGTATCAGTGATTTGTTTAGCTTCTATTTTTGAGTTTTAGCAAAGAGTAAAAGTGTTGACTTCCCATACAATAGAACTATATCAAAGTCAACACTACAAAACCTACTTTTCCCTCTTGAGATTTTGGCAATCACATTCACTATTATTATCATTATTACTACTTTGGCAGATGAGCTCCTAGCCTTAGCTCAAGATCCAACTCCTCGTGATGACCGTTGATCTTGGATACTCCGATGACCAACCCTAACATCATTGGCAATCTTGTAACATCACTCTTTGCCTTCTTGGACCCCGAAAATCCATTGATTAGTTGCTTCTTCCGAGTATGGAACTCAGAACTTAATAAACCCATAGATAAATCAGTCTTAACTTCATCATTGCAATGCTCAAATCTTTTCATAGAACTTTCTAAAACATTACTATTACCAACATCACTTATCTCTCTCTTAGTTCCATTAGGCTTTCTTGAATCTTCTTGGACATGAAACTTCGGTCCCACGTCAAGAACTTCGTGTTGTTTTTGCACTTGCTGATCAAGAGGCGTGGTTTGGTCAGTTGATGAAGATGATAATGATTGTTGTTTAAGACGAGCTCGGTCTCTTCTATGAACGTTCATATGACCACCTAGTGCTTGTGCCGACTTGAACTCTCTCCCACAAAAGCTGCACGTGTAGGACCTAGGCGGCCACATGCAACCACCTCCACCGCCATACTCTTTTCCAAATGGCCAGAGCAAAACCGCGTCGGAAGATTGTCTCATCACCACTGGTCTGAGCTTCATGGACATCAAGTATTTATCTCTCTCCATCAGATACGAATACAAATACAAATACAAATGTAAATGTATAACTTCGTTTATTAATAGAAGAAACTAAGAGAATTTTTTTTTGGGTGGGAGAGAAGTAAGTAGATTTTTACACACGTACATATATATAAAGCGAGACGCATGTACATATAGTGTATGATAGTATAATATGGTTTTAAAGCATTGAATGTGAGAAAGCTATACATTGAGAACCATGAGTAAAGAGGAAGAGACTTTTGATAGGGAAAGTTCTCTTTTACTTTAGTTACTCGTCTTCACTTTAAATATTTGAATAGTAATAATTAGTTGGCGAGTTTTTTATTCTATGGTAGCTAAACTTAATGCCAAACGCAACATAAGTTTTCCACGAGTCTACAAAATTAATAAGTTGTTAGAGTCCATGTTTTTCAATAACACCTAATAACATGACAAAACTTATATATGGCTTAATTGTAAATAGTTGTGTTAGACTACAGTATGTTATTTGTATACACCATCTACGGATATATGTGACTGTAGAGGTGATGAAGACAGTGGACCATCAAATTAATTTATCAATTTTTAGATTATGTGATCTAGCTAATAAGACACTGGATACTGCAATTGAATATGATATCGTGTGATTGTTTTGCGAGTATTATACGGATGAAAAGTGGAGATCATTGCCTGAAATTCATATTATTTTTATGGACTCGTATAAGAGATATTTAACCTACAATTTGTCTCCATATTACGGGTTTCAGACCGTGGGAGAAAACAACAAAATAATAATTGGAGTACAAAGTATCCAAACTAACGAAGTGACTTAATTACAAAGCAAAGAAATACTTCCTTTAGATTTAAAAGTATCACTAGATTTTGACCCGCGCTTGAAAGCGCGAAATTTTTTTTGATTAAAAATTTATATAATTAGGTTTTGTCTTTATTTAAAGTATGTTTTGGTATAAAATCAGTAATCCAAAATTTGTGGTGATGATTGATTTGCATTAGTTTTTAGTTTCAGTTTTTATTTTAAGATTTGGTTTTAGATTTTGGTTTTTAGTTTTTAATTTTTAAGTTTCTAGTTTTGATTTTCAGCTTTTGGTTTGGGTTTTTAGCTTTTAGATCCGTTGAGTTAGTTTGAACTCATAATTACCAACAAACAAATCTCAAAGAATCGAACATCTAATTTAAAACTGAAAAGATGAGAATTTTTATTTTTTAAAAATGCAATAGTTTATTTTGTGTAAATAAAGAAAACAAAAGCAAAAATATAACATGCGTTTTCAGCTTTTGGTTTTGGATTTTAATTTTTAGATTTGGTTTTTAGTTTTGCTTACATTTATTTTTTTAAACTCAGTAAATTATTTAAGAAAAATAATAAAAATAAACTATTATAAAAGTTACCATTGAAATTTATCAAGATAGAGTGATTGTTATTTAAAATAAAAAAATATTAACATGTTTTAAAGTACATGATTTAAATAAGTGATTAATAATATATAATTTTGTTTTGTTAAAATATTAAATACTTTTGGGCCTTAAAATAGTAACTGATTTTTTGATCCATTAATGTACAACACTTATTCAATGTTTTTTTGGAGTTTTTCTATAATACTAAGCCCAAAACTCAAACTATATAATTTGTCATAAAAACAAAAGTAAGCTCAAAACTATTCCATAAATAACTGCCGGTTTAATTTAAGTAATGCGGTTCAATCAACTATATGACTTGTATTATTTGTAACACTCTAGAAATGGTCCAAATTTAAATGACAACGTATATATCAGTAGATAAAATGAATGACTCTATTTTAATAGAGTAGATGTTTAAATTTTTACACATATATTAAAAAATAAGTAATTAACTCTTTTAGTTATTGTTTTTTGGTTTATCAATAAAATTCAACCACTCATAATTTCATTTTTAATTTTAATTTAATTTTAAAGATAAATGTATTAGTTATATCCTAAAACATCAATTTTTTGTATACAAGATAAAAATTTAGAACATCTTACATTTAAATACGGAGGGAGTATGTTTTTAATAAACATCAGGTTATTAGTATAAAATAAAAGTTGTGAGCAAACGCCAAAACGTGTTACAAATTGTGTAAATCAACTCCAATCCATGAAAGTGGCAGTATCCAGTTCCAATATGAAGGTAGGTAACATGACTGCCACACAAGACCTAGAGTGTTTAAATATGGGCCTGTTCAAACATAGTGTTGTATATGGGCCAAATTCTATTTTAATGGATAAAGGCCCATTAATGTATTGGGCTTAAAAAGAATAAGGGTTAGGTCCAAACCTTAGTGTTGAGTATCAAGATATAAACCTTTGTAGACCAAACAGGTTTAATAGTCTTCCCACTTTATAGTAAAAGCTCTCTCTCTCTCTCTTAGCTTCTCCTTCCCTCTTCATTGAGCTTCCGCCGCCGTTTCCTCCTGAAGCAAAAAATTCAACTTTCTCTTCGGAGGTTAAACTGCGACGGCTAGCTCAAGTTTTTGGTGAGAAAAGCTGCCTCCTTTTCTTTCTGAATCATGTGTTAAGCTAACTGGATCGATTAGGGTTTTTTAAGTTAGATTAAACATATCTTACACTGTAGACTTGCTTAAAGAGCTTTGAGGAAGAGACGGGAATTAGGGTTTTTCATGTGTTCATTGTTTATGTAGAAGATGTTGACTGTAACTAGGTTTAAGAGCTGTTTCTTCAGTTTGTGACATTTGGTTTTGTTTTAGACCTAGCTGCTCTGTGACCCTTTATCGATTAAGTGAATCTAAAGTAGAAAGTTTGTATCTTTATATAGATGTATAAGTTGGTTTGTCTATTTTTGTACATTGCTTGTTGGGTTAAGAAGTTTCTGAATCTTTGTGACAGGAATATAAGTTGATTTTGGAGATACTACAGAGTGTATCATCATGCAGAGTTTGAGGAGTAACTCTGTTGTTATTAAGCTACTTACTTATTCAGATGAGCTTTTGGAGGGGAAACCGTTGTTTGTTTCTTCTAATTGTCTTCCTGTGAAGGCTTTGAACCGTGAACCTGCTGGTTATGCGTTTCATTCTGCTGCTCTCAAACTTCTTTGTTGTGCAGAGGAGAAAAAAGAAGATGATAGCTCTTCTGCATCTCCAAGGAAAGACGGAAACGAGAAGGGTTTGGAAGATATTCCTTCGTATGAAACGTACAAGAATAACAGCAGCAATAAGGGGAAGAAGAAGAAGGCAGGGAAGGAACAGGAGCAGCATGATCACTATGCCTTGTTGGGTTTGGGCAATTTGAGGTATCTTGCAACTGAGGATCAGATTAGGAAAAGCTATCGTGAGGCTGCTCTGAAGCTTCATCCTGATAAGCTTTCTGCTGCTCTCCTTCTTTCTGACGAGAGTGATGAAGTCAAGCTAGCTAAAAAAGAAGCTTTGAATCTCACTTCAAGCTGATCCAAGAAGCGTATGAGCTTCTCATGGACCCAACTAAGAGAAGAATATTCGACTCTACTGATGAGTTTGATGACGCAGTCCCGAGTGACTGTGCTCCCAAAGACTTCTTCAAGGTGTTTGGTCCTGCCTTTAAGAGAAACGCAAGGTGGTCTGTTAATTCTCGTGTGCCTGATCTGGGAGATGAAAACACACCGATCAAAGAGGTTGATAAGTACTACAACTTCTGGTATGCTTTCAAAAGCTGGAGGGAGTTTCCTGAAGAGGAGGAGCACGATCTTGAAGAAGCTGAGTCTCGTGAGGAGAAGAGGTGGATGGAGAGAGAGAATGCAAGGAAAACTCAGAAGGCTAGAAAGGAGGAGTATGCTCGGATAAGGACTCTTGTTGACAATGCTTACAAGAAGGATCCAAGAATAGTGAAAAGGAAGGAGGAAGAGAGGGCTAAGAAACAGGAGAAGAAGGATGCAAAAGTTAATGCCAAGAAGAAGCTGGAAGAAGAAGGTGCTGCAGCTATTGAGGAAGAGAAGAGGAGAAAAGAAGAGGAAGCTAAACTCGCTGCAGAGACTGCTCAGCAGCAAAAGAAGGCCAAGGAGAAAGAGAAGAAGCTTTCTACCAAGGAACAAAGTCGGCTCAGAACTCTCTCTGCACCTGTTGTGTCCCAGCGTCTGCTTGGCATCACTATTGCACACGTGGAAGATCTCTGCATGTCACTTAACTTTGAGCAGCTGAGGAATCTGTGCGACAAGATGGAAAACAAGGAAGGGCTGAAACTTGCAAAGGTGCTCAAGAATGGGAACAATGATGAAGCTGAGAGCGAAGAGGACGAAGGGGCTGCTAAGCAGAATGGTCATGTAGAAGCCAATGGATATTCCATGGTAGATACTGCTACTCAGAGCCCTCGAGCTGCTGCAATGGTCTGAGAATTTTGTTATTGACAGAGAGAAGAGCCTGGACTCATATTTTTGCTCCGTTTCATATTTTTCATATACATGGTCATGCTCTGCTGCTCTTCCTTACATCGAGTGTTTGACAACGGTCCTCTGTCACCGAATGATTCTTATTAATCTATTTTTGTTCTAATTTTGTTCAGCTCTGTGTCTTCACCTAAGAACACGGTCTTTGTCTGTTTTAGCATATTTTCATATTGGAAAATCCTTTACTCTTTATAATTCTATATTTTGTCATATCATTCATCTCTGCAAGAATGGTACTATGGCATGAGGATTATCTGATAGCAATGTATGGTTTATAGGATCATCATCATGTTTAGATCTCTCCAAGAGTGCGACCGTGAGGGCCTGGAGCGAAGTTTTGCCGGATTTTGGGAAAGCTGCGACGATTATATCGGTGTCTTGTGGCTGGAAACTCTTCTGGAAATTGATGACTGCTTGGAGAGTGTTGTAATAATACCAACATCCTTGGTAGTTGCAGAGCTTCCCTCGAAAATCTTTGTCTGTAGGAAGTGAAGAGATCAGTTTCTTCGTCTCTTCACCTATGTTGTCCCTTTTTTTTTTTTTTTTAAATATAAAGATTACTATTCAAAGCTGTATATGTTTTGGACTCTTGTAACAACCCAACAAACAACTAATCAAGCAATTAGGAAGTTCCCAAATAATTTAACAACTATGATACATACCAAACCAAATTGTCTCGTTTAATTTATCAGTTCCTATCACTTTGATTAATTATATTTGGTTAATCTGCTACACCAACTCACAGAAAAAAAAAAGAAAAACCAATGTTGATGCTCGACCATAACATCAAATTAGACCAAGAAACAAAATATAGATAAATAAGAATAGATTCAGTTGTCAAAACACTCTATGTAAGGAGGGAGGAGAGGATAGTAGCATGATGATGATGATGATGTATATGAAAAATATTAATCGTAGCAAAACTTAAGAGTCTACGCTCTTCTGTCAAAACCAAAAATCTCAGACCATTGCAGCAGGTCGAGGGCTCTGAGTAGCAGTATCTACCATGAATCCATTGGCTTCTACATGACCATTCTGCTTAGCGCCCACCACTTCTTCATCTTCACTCTCAGCTTCATCATTGTTCCCATTCTTGAGCACCTTCGCCAGTTTCAGCCCTTCCTTGTTTTCCATCTTGTCGCATAGATTCCTCAGCTGCTCAAAGCTAAGTGACATGCAGAGATCTTCCACGTGTGCAATAGTGATGCCAAGCAGACGCTGGGACACAACAGGTGCAGAGAGAGTTCTGAGCCGACTTCGTTCCTTGGTACGAAGCTTCTTCTCTTTCTCCTTGGCCTTCTTTTGCTGCTGAGCAGCCTCTGCAGCGAGTTTAGCTTCCTCTTCTTTTCTCCTCTTCTCTTCCTCAATAGCTGCAGCAGCTTCTTCCTCCAGCTTCTTCTTGGCATTAACTTTAGCATCCTTCTTCTCCTGTTTCTTAGCCCTCTCTTCCTCCTTCCTTTTCACTATTCTTGGATCCTTCTTGTAAGCATTGTCAACAAGAGTCCTTATCCGAGCATACTCTTCCTTTCTAGCCTTCTGAGTTTTCCTTGCATTCTCTCTCTCCATCCACCTCTTCTCCTCACGTGACTCTGCTTCCTCAAGATCGTGCTCCTCCTCCTCAGGAAACTCTCTCCAGCTCTTGAAAGAATACCAGAAGTTGTAGTACTTGTCAACCTCTTTAACCGGTGTGTTTTCATCTCCCAAATCAGGCACACGAGAATTAACAGACCACCTTGCGTTCCTTTTAAACGCTGGACCAAACACCTTGAAGAAGTCTTTGGGAGCACAGTCACTTGGGACTGCGTCATCAAACTCATCAGTAGAGTCAAATATTCTCCTCTTAGTTGGGTCCATGAGAAGCTCATATGCTTCTTGTATCAGCTTGAAGTGAGATTCAATAGCTTCTTTTTTAGCTAGCTTGACTTCATCACTCTCGTCAGAAAGAAGGAGAGCAGCAGAGAGCTTATCAGGATGAAGCTTCAGAGCAGCCTCACGATAGCTTTTCCTAATCTGATCCTCAGTTGCAAGATACCTCAAATTGCCCAAACCCAACAAGGCATAGTGATCATGCTGCTCCTGTTCCTTCCCTGCCTTCTTCTTCTTCCCCTTATTGCTGCTGTTATTCTTGTAAGTTTCATAAGAAGGAATATCTTCCAGACCCTTCTCGTTTCCGTCTTTCTTAGGAGATGCAGAAGAGCTATCATCTTCTTTTTTGTCCTCTGCACAACAAAGAAGTTTGAGAGCAGCGGAATGAAACGCATAACCAGCAGGTTCACGGTTCAAAGCCTTCACAGGGAGACAATTAGAAGAAACAAACAACGGTTTCCCCTCCAAAAGCTCATCTGAATAAGTAAGTAGCTTAATAACAACAGAGTTACTCCTCAAACTCTGCATGATGAAACACTGCGTAGAAGCTCCAAATCAACCAGACAATGAAACTAAACACCAACGTTTATCCCTGTCACAAAGAATAAACCAACGTCGCAAACTTCTCAGACATCAATATACATAAAACTTGTAGAGCACAGACAAAGGTAAAGAGATTCACAAAGAAAATAGACACAAAAGCTACACATCAACTTATACAACTTTTTTTTTATTTTTACTTCAGACATGTTCTTAACTGAACTCTCTTGTAACAGGAAACATATTTAATAGCTAGATATAAAACACAACCAAACAATCAATAACACAAACAAAGAACCAAACAGTTCCTAAACCCTAATTAAAGTAATCATCTTCTACATAAAACAATAAACACATGAAAAAAACCCTAGCTTTTGTCTTTCAAGTAAACAAACCCTAATCGATCCATCTGGTTTTAAGACACGACTCGAACAGACCAAAGAAGCAAGCTTTTCTTACCAAAAACTTGAGCTAGCCGTCGCAGTTTCTCCTCCGAAGTAATCGCAGTCCGAAAGAGACGGCGAAGAGAGTTCAAGTTTTGCAGGAGGAAACGGCGGCGGCAGCTCAAAGGAAGAGGGAAATAAGAGAAGCTAAAGAGAGAAAGTTTGCTTAAAAAGTGGCAAGTCTCCTCCTTAACCTTGTTGGGTTACATCTTTCGATATTTATATGTTAATACGTAACACTACAGGTTCGGACCTAAACCCTTATTTGTTTTTAAACCCCGATAAGTATGGGCTTCGGTCCATTAAAATAGAATCTGGCCCATGTTGAAGCACTCGAGGTCTTGTGTGGCAGTAATATTGAAACTGCATGAATACTGCCACTTTCATGCACCTCGTAGGCTACAATAATAATCTCTCTACTTTCAAAACAAAATATTAATCAGATTCCTCCATCCCATAAGATAAAATAAGTTGCAGTTTTTCTAATTGATTGATTAGTTGTTACACGTTACAAGAACACAAAAAAATAGCCTACAATAGTTATCTCCATGCTTTAAAACAAAATATAAATTGGAATCCTCATTCCCACTAGGAAAATAAATTTGCATTTTTTTCTAATTGTCTTTTTAGTTGCTATCAGTTGGAATTGGTGTCACGTCCTCTGTATATATATTGTACATTACAAAAAGTTTTGTTTCAAAACACACAGAGAACAGCGTCACAAAATCATGAAACTGCAACTAAACCCTAATTATAATCATCATACTTTGCCATGATCTACATAAATAAACCCTAGATTTCGCCTTTACAGTAAAGATATTCAAGCAGATATGTTTAAGTGATCTAGCTAAAAAAAAACTAATCGATTCATCTCGTTTTAACCAGCTTTCTTAAGTACGCAATGGGATTTTTCTTTTTGTTTTGTTGAAGTTGTGACTAAAATAAATGAAAATATAGTATTGTGTAGAAGAAAATTAAATTTTAAAATTAATTGCTTATAACAAAATCATTTATTGATCAAAAAAGATGGGTAAACAACACCAAATGCGTATTAGGTGAGAATTGAATGCTTCTTTTTTTTTGTAAACTAACAAAAATATTGAATTGCATGGGATTTATACCAAATACAGCTTAAAAATAATTTAACTGAATGGTAATTTTAATGCAAGAGTACATGGGCGGATGAACTGTATTTATCCTATTACCTGAAAATTAAATAAATGAGCAATCCTCCAATTGCTTGATCAGTTGTTGCACGCTACAAGAATCCGAAACATATATATATTATTAGTTTACAATATTAATCGGATTAGTTGTTGCATGTCACGTGATAGTGTTTATGCATATTTATTCATTTTAATTATCTAGAATTAAAAACATTGTTTTCAGATAACAACATAATATAGAAGGATTATTTATTTTTAAAATATATTTTATTTTCGCTATATATTTTAGTTTATATATTAATTTATAAAAATTATCTATAAAATTTATTTATTTTTCTTAAATATGATATTGATTAAACAAAAAAAAGTAACATACATACATGAATTATGTTTTTACGAAAAACAGAGCAACTAATTTCTAGATTATACATTTGCAAAAAGCAGGGAATGTTTTAGAATAAAAATACACAGAAATTTAAAATTAAAAACGCTAAATTATATATTTATTAAAAATAATAAAAACTCTTTTTTTAAAAAAAAGAAAGTAAAAAAGACTTAATCTCTCAAACATGGATTCTTCTGTCCCATGAGACGTTAAATAGATGTGCATGTTCGCATTTTGAAGTAAAACAAACAAGGGAGTAACATGGCTCACAATGAAATTTATGAGAACTTGAGAGACGACAAGGTAAGTGAAGAGACGAGGAAACTCATCACTTCACTTCCTACAGACAAAGATTCTCAAGGTAACCTCTGCAAGTACCAAGCCTGTTGGTATTACTACAACACTTTCCAAGCAGTCATCAATTTCCAGAAGCATTTCCAGCCACAAGAAACTGATATAGTTCTTGCTACTTTCCCAAAGTCCGGCACTACTTGGCTCAAGGCACTTACGGTCGCACTCTTGGAGAGATCTAAACATGATGATCCGCTGAACCATCCATTGTTATCAAACAATCCTCATGCCATAGTACCATTATTGGAGAGTCCAACACTAGACCTAACCAAGTTCTTACCATCATCGTCCACGAGGCTGTTTTCAACTCACATGCCTTTTCACACCGTGAAAGAAGGCCTCAAGGGTTATCCTTGCAAGATTGTGTACATGTGCAGGAACGCAAAGGACGTGTTGATATCTCTGTGGCATTTCAGGTGCAAGTATCAGAAAATTGAAGTAACTAAAAGCGTTCTCGAGTCAACGTTCGAGTCTTTCTGCAGAGGAGGCAACTTCTACGGTCCCATTTGGGACCATGTTCTCAGCTACTGGAGAGGTAGCTTGGAAGATCCGAGTCATGTCCTGTTCATGAAGTACGAGGAGATGAAAGAAGAGCCTTACGCTCAGCTCAAGAGACTTGCGGAATTTTTAGGTTGTCCTTTCACTGAAGAAGAAGAAGAAGAGAGTGGAGCTGTGAACAAGATCTTGGAGCTATGCTCCCTGCGTAGTCTTAGCGACTTGGAGATCAACAAGTCGGGAAAAACCGTTAATGGCGTGGATTACAAGTACTTTTTCAGGAAAGGAGAAGTCGGGGACTGGAAATATCATCTCACTCCAGAAATGGTGAGCAAAATCGATATGATCATTGAGGAGAAACTGAGAGGTTCAGGCTTGAGTTTTTAGTGTTGGCTTTAAACCTGCTCTTTTACATTCATTGTGTTGAAGGTGTACTCAAGTGAATGTATTAGCTCCATATAAGAAATATTATAATTTGTATGTATTAAAATAAATAATAATAATAATAATTTGTATGTAAAACATGTATAATTTTTTGCCTCATGGTTGTATGTTTTCAGATTGAGAAAATCAGATTTCAGTGAGCAGGTGAACATAGGAAGGGATGAGATGGTTGTGAGAAAAAAGAAAACAAAGATTTAAATTAATGGAATGGTAATTTTGGGTTAACTTGTTTAATACGGTAACAAAAGTGTCCATTAAAGGCAAAGTGCATTTTCTTGGATAGTATTTGTCCAAAGTGCCATAACTCGGAAATGACTCCAACTAAAACTAAGCAACACCTTATCTTCAGAGTGGCACCTCTCAACATAAACATCTATAATATTTTTATATATCAAAGAATTTTTTTGTAATAATAATGTTGAATAAATCATATAAGATAAATATCATGGAAATAGAGAATATGATCAACATATTTACAAATTAATCATAATTTTTGGGATATAAACATACATATTTTTATATATATGAGAAATCTGTGAAACCGCAAGGATATTGAGAAATTAATTATAATATGCAATTTTTCTAATTGCATGATTAGCTGATACATACAAGAATCCAAAATATATAGCTTACAATAATAATTTATGTACTAAAAGACAAAATATCAATCGGATTCCCATGAGAAATTAAATAATTTCTGATTAGTTGGTACAGGTTTAAAGAATCCAAAATATATAGTTACAATAACAATGTCTACACTTCAAAACAAAACACCAATCGTGTTCCAATGAAATATTAAATAATTTGCAAATATTTTTTTTAACTGCATGATTAGTTGTTAGACGTTACAAGAATCCAAAGGATATATAGCTTACAATAATTATATACTTTATAGATATTAATCGGCTTCCTCCTTTCCACAAGGAAATAAAAAAATTTGCAAATTTTTCTAATTGCTTGATTAGCTGTTGCACATGACAATAATTTAAAAAAAAAATCCCTAACATAATAATCTAAAAATTGTAAGTGTTAAATAGATGTGTTTGCATTTTGAAGCAAAACACATACCTTAAACACGGATTAAGAAAAAAAAGGGTTTAACAAGAGAAACATGGCTCACAATGAACATCCTGCGAACTTGAGAGAAGACTACATAACTGAAGAAACAAGGAAACTGATCTCTTCACTTCCGACAAACAAAGACTCTCAAGGCAGCCTCTGCAAGTACCAAGGATCTTGGTATTACTACAACACTCTCCAAGGAGCCATCAACTTCAAGAATCATTTCCAGCCACAAGAAACCGATATTATCCTCGCTTCCTTCCCAAAATCCGGCACAACTTGGCTCAAGGCACTCACGGTCGCACTCTTTGAGAGATCTAAACATCATAATGATCCTTTAAACCATCCATTGCTATCAGATAACCCTCATAGCATAGTACCATTCTTTGAGAGCAATCTGTATCTCCGAACCTCAACACCAGACCTAACAAAGTACTCATCATCATCATCATCATCGTCCCCGAGGCTGTTTGCGACTCACATGCCTTTACACACCGTGAAAGAAGGTCTCAAGGGCTCTCCTTGCAAGATTGTGTACATGTGTAGGAACGTAAAGGACGTGTTGATATCTCTATGGTATTTCAAGTGCAAGTATCTGAAAATTGAAGTAACTAGAAGCGTTCTTGAGTCCACGTTCGAGTCTTTCTGCGGAGGAGGAAACTTCTACGGTCCCTTTTGGGACCATGTCCTCAGCTATTGGAGAGGCAGCTTGGAAGATCCGAGTCATGTTCTGTTCATGAAGTACGAGGAGATGAGAGAAGAGCCTTATGTTCAGCTCAAGAGACTTGCTGAGTTCTTGGGTTGTCCTTTCACTGAGGAAGAAGAAGAGGAGGGAGGTGTGAACAAGATCTTGGAGCTATGCTCTTTGCGTAGTCTTAGCGACTTGAAGATCAGTAAGTCCGGAAAACCAGATAGTGGCGCGGACTATAAGCTCTGTTTCAGAAAAGGAGAAGTTGGGGACTCGAAAAATCATTTAAGTCATGAGATGGAGATGAGAATCGATATGATCGTTGAAGAGAAACTGAAAGGTTCTGGTTTGAGTTTCTAAGAGTATTTTGTTATAAGAGTTGTATCTTCTTTCACATTGTTTACTTTGGTTTGATTAACACAAACCAGAATATGTATTTTGTTCTAATAAGAACTTTAATGCTAAAGTCATGTCCTCTGTATAAAAAATAAAACCAAAATTTTTGACAGCTGTGGGATTTGAACCCACGCCCTTTCGGACCAGAGCCTAAATCTGGCGCCTTAGACCACTCGGCCAAACTATCTTGTTGTTTCATCTTTCTTTCTGCCATTTACTTGGAAATGTAGGGACTGGAAGAATTATCTCACTCCAGAAATGGTGAGCAAAATCGACATGATCATTGAGGAGAAACTGAGAGTATAATGAACTTAATAAGATTTTGCACATTGTTACTCTGGTTTGATGACCAACATTCTCTGATTTTCTTCAGCTTCTGGACAACGTTTCTATGTTCCACAAAAATATAAAAAAAATGTGACAGCTGTGGGATTTGAACCCACGCCCTTTCGGACCAGAGCCTAAATCTGGCGCCTTAGACCACTCGGCCAAACTGTCTTGTTGTTTAGTGTGATAGTGTTGTTTAGTCACTGTTTCATTGTTTTTTGTTGTTTGATGCCATTATATATCTCTGACGTTTGAAACTCTGAAGCGTTGTGGTCTGATACAAAACGAGGTTCTTTCAGTGTTGAACAAGTACCAACAGGTATCTAGCTACAGCATGGAGAAGAAGATTATTTACCAATGTGTTAGTCAAAGCTATCAGTACCATGATATGATAGATAACTTTCTGAAGCTCACTTTAGCCAAAAGTTATCAATCCTACTTACTTTGACTATGTAGTATTATTGATAACCTTTGGTCAAAGAGTTTAACTCTATGTTTAGTCGAGTTCAAAGTACCAAACAGATTTGGTCAAGAGATATTGTTGTTACAGAGTATTAAGTTGGAGTTGTTGTTGTTACCACCCATCAGCTTCTCCTACTTTGTCAAAACGTGTGAGCATGAGTTTGTGAAGGTATAGTTCAATTAGTATATAATGGATTGTGATTACCACGCAAACACAATCAAACATCAGAAAGCTTACCTATTAGTTATATAAAAAAAGAAACCAATACAGACATGTTTGTTTTCAAAGAATTCATTATTACTTTTGAACTCATAACAACAAAGACGTTTTAAAAGCAAATCTTCAAGTTGAATCAGAGAGAGGATCTGATGAACGAGTCTATTCCCATGACTTAAGCAGAAAGAGGAGCAGCAGTCAAGAGAGTCTTGGCTGGTGAAACCAAAGCAACACCTCCATTCTCCACTTTAGAGTACTTCTTGTACACAGCACGTAGCCTGCTCTCTCCACATCTCGAGTGATGTAACGCAAGAAGCTTTGAGCATTCCCTATTAACACACAACAAAGAAATAACTTATCAGTCTCAGCAATTAAGATGATGTTTGTAATTAAAGAGTCTTCTCTGTTCTTACATAATCTCAGACTCTGAATAGCCAGTGTGGAACGTCAAGGTCTCAGTCCAAGCAGGTGACTTGTTCAACGAGCACCTCGCTGTGTAAACAGCCGAAGCAGCAAGCATGGATGGACAGAACTTCAACGTGTCATAGTGCATCATCCCCAACTCAGCAAGAAAGTGAACCATATTCTCCATCTAGACACAACAACATAACAAAATCAGTCTCTTTCCAATCCAAAACGTATGAAAAAACCAAAACATCATAGCAAAAATTCAACTCACCTCAGGGTCAGACATAGAAGCTTTAATAAAGCGGACAAGGAACACGTATTGAGTCGGCACTGTCAAGTACCATTCGAGGTTTCCAAGAATAGTCTTCTCCATCACTAGAATCTGCTTGCTGTTGTAAGCATTGTCTGTCACATACACCAAATCATTCACCTACACATAACCACACCACATCAGTAAACATACAAAAACACACAAAACACATCAACTTTCGTTAACGAAATAAGTTATATACCTGAGGCGGCCAGATCTCTTCATACTTAGAAGCGATAAGCAAAGCACTGATTCCCAAAAGCTGCAACTCTCTTTTAGGAACAACTTTCACAGAGAGAAACCGGTCAATAATATTGACAGTGAGGTAAAGAGTCTCCAAGTTAAGCTCAAACTTGATGTGAACTTCTAACAACCAATCAACCAAGATAGCTCTCATCTTCTCATTCATCTCACTCTGAATGTGCATATACATCTGAGCCTGGCTCTCCTTCTCCACTTCTTTGTAAAACGAGTACATATCATCAACGTACTCAACACCAGCCAGATGGTTATCTCTGTCAGACTCATCAATATCAAGAATCTCCGGCTTGTTGGTTGCTGCAGCTTTGCTCCTTGCACTCAGAACTGATGAGTAAGTCACCTTCTTGCTCTTAGGTGATGATCTTTCCTTTGGCTTCTCAACCACGTCAGCTTGTTTGTTAGTCTGTTGCTTGAGCTTAATCACTAGGTTTTTCTTTGGAACTGCTTTTTCTTGGTTTCTTGGTTGTTGTGGTTTCTTTGAGGGAAGAGCCTTGTTTTCGCCGTTGATTGTTGGCTTCTCTAGGAGCTGAGCACGGAAACTTCGGGTTACGGGTCGGTTAATCGGAAGCTGAGGCTTTCCTCCTTGAGCCACGGTGACTCGGTTTCCGATGTCACCGAGTGCACGGCGATTCTTAACGGCGCCGTTTTTGTTTAAACCTGTTTCACATAGTCAATCAGAAACTAATCGGAGACGAGTCAAGAAAACTCAAATCGAGACTGAGTTAGGTCAAACGAGTTACTCTTAAATCTAATAATTTAAAACGAAAATTTAAAATTCGATGAATTTCAATTTCAAATCAAACGACAAAGATTAAAATCAGATCGATTACGAGTCGAGAATCCTCAAATCGGGAACGAGTTAGGGCAAACGAGTTACTCTCAATCAAAAGAAACACAGATTCGATTTGAATCATACCTCTGACATGTTCAGGCATGTTTGTTCTCGTCGCCATTATCTTCTCTCCTATAGATTCTTCTTACTCTTCTTTGGTCTTTGGAAGTGTTTTTTTTTTTTCTCTTCGTAAAGAGTCTGTGAGAGATTCGGATGGGAGAGAGCGCTTTCTTTTATGAAGAGGAGCCAACGGTTCACTTCCAACGGTCATATTTTTTGGTGGGTTTTATTTAAGGCCGTTGGATTATAAAGTTTTAGATCTAACGGTAGATAGACAGTTAAAACGATATTGGAATTCGCTGGCACCGGGCCGTAAATAAAGCCCATTTCAAAGGCCCAAATAAGTATATACAACTCTCATAAAAGATATAGGGTCCGATTGGTAATGACTTTCGCTTTAGGCTTTGACTTTAGAATTGTGGCTGTAGAGATTTTGGCTTTAAAGGCTGTAACTGTTACTTTAGAGAAAGTTAAAAGCATGATTGGTACTCAAAGCTTTAGAAGCTGTGACTGTTATAAATATATGTTTATAATTCATTTTTCAAAATGTATTACCTATTTTTTATTTATACAAGTTTATAAAATATATTGGGTAGCTTAAAAACAGAAAATCAATCAAATTTATCAACAATATATTTTATTTCTTAATTGTAAAAATTTGAAATTGTAATGAAAATGAATTTATAAATCATTGTATTTATTTTTTCTTTCAATTATTATATTTTTTGAATCTTTCGTAAATGTTTTCAATTATTTATACAAAAAATTTTAGTCTTTAACAAATTAATAGTCTATTAATAGTAAGGTATGATTTTTTCTTGATGGTAAAATGTAACTAACTAATGAAAATGAATTTATATATCATTGTATTTATTTTTCTTTCAATTATTATACTTTTTAAATCTATCCTAGATGTTTTCAATTATTTATAATTTTTAGTCTTCAACAAATTAATAGTCTATTAATAGTAAGATGTGACTTTTTATTGGTGGTAAAACTTAAACTAACTAATAAAAATGAATTTATTAATCATTATGCTTATTATTTCTTTTATTTTAGTAAGAAATGAACAAAAAGTCAAAAATAAAAATAAATCACGTTTTTTTTATCATAGCAACAAAAAAAGAGTGTGTTGTAAAGTCTCAAAAAGTGGCTGTAGAAAAAAATGAACAAAAAACAGTTTTTTTTAAAAGTGGGCTTTAATGGCTTTACAAATCTCTAAAGCCTAAAAAAAGTGATTGGCAAATATTTGGCTTTAGTGGCTTTACACAACCACAAAGCCCTCAAAGCCCATACACCAATCGGACCCATAATTAGAGGAATAATTCTTCAGTGAACATGAAGAATGGTCATTACCACCTTTAGCACATTTCAAGTTCCATCAATCAATTACTACACCATAGACTATGACAGTGTGCTGAGATGGGAATAAGTTCATTTTCAGATGGGAATAAGTTCATTTTCCTGGCCATGGTTCTTCCAGCTTATTACTTTTCCATCTGAAAAGTTCTCTTCAAAATCAATCTCAACCTGATATAAACTAGCATATTAATTGCTCTGCATGCAAAGTAGAACTACAGTAGTAATAAAGCATATAACTATCATTTGATCCGAACATCCGTACGAGTATATTTTTATTTTATAGATATATAACTAAAATTTTTAAAAACATGATTTATATTTTATTTTTAATTAAAGTTAACTTATAATTATATTTAATAACAAAATAAAGAAATAATTATTTTAAAAAAAAAACTATTTAAAGTTTTTTGTAAGATCTTGCTAGATTTTTTCAACAGATTTTATTATATTTAAATTTATTTATTATTATCCTTATTAATTATTAAGATATTTTGAAAATAATATATATTTGATTGGTTAATGTAACAATCAAATATGTCAAATTAAATAATTAATGACATGGTCAACATGATTTCTAAATAGTAGATAAATTTGGTACTTCTCTTTTAATAGAGAAGAAATATGTAATTTCGGTGAGGAAATTTCAAGGTAGTATGTAATGTAATTTTCTGTTGCGCTTGTGGGACCTTTATGTTGCTGTCGTTATTGAAATTTTCTATGAAGAAATTTCAAGGAAGTAGGTATTGTAATTGTCTGTTGCGCTTGTGGGAGGGACCTCTCTGTTGCTGTCGTTATTGTAATTTTCTGTGAGGAAATTTCAAGGAAGTAGGCATAGGGAGAAAACCAGCAGCGAACCCAACTCTTTTTTTGCTAGTAGTTTAAAAAAGTTCTGTGTTTAATATATACGAAGCTTCATTACAGTTTCTTCCTCCACATAGCTCCCTTTAAAGCTCTGTAATACTGATCCTCTTTCCATCATATTAACTAATGGATTCTTCTTCTTCATCACCTTCACCTTCTCGACTCTGGAGGCATCATGTCTTTTTCAACTTCCGTGGGGAAGATGTCCGCAGAGACTTTCTTAGTCACATTCAAATGGAGTTTCAAAGAAAAGGAATCACTCCTTTCATTGATAGTGAAATACGAAAAGGAGGATCTATAGCTCCCGAGCTCATTTGGGCGATTAGAGAATCTAGGATTGCAATTATCTTGCTCTCTAAGAACTATGCCTCCTCAAGATGGTGTCTTTGATGAACTGGTGGAGATTATGAAATGCAGAGAAGAGTTTGGTCAGACTGTAATGGTTATTTTCCATAAAGTGGATCCATCTGATATGAAAAAGCTAAAAGGAAAATTTGGGGAAGTCTTTAGAAAAACTTGTGCTGGTAGAACGGAGGAAGACATTTGGAGATGGAGACGAGCTTTGGCAGAAGTGGCCACAATCGCTGGCTATCATTCAAGCAACTGGTTAGTTTTTTTTTTTTTTTTTTTTTAAAAAATTCAACATATTCGTATTTCTTTATGAATGTGCAAGATTACTTAATGGATGTATTTGAACTCCCACATTCTTAGGGATAATGAAGCGGCCATGATCAAGAGAATCGCCACTGATATTTCAAACATGCTGGATAATATCACACCATTACGTGATTTTGACGGGTTAGTTGGGATGGGAGCTCATTTGGGAAAGATGGAACCATTGTTATGCATAGACTCAGATGAGGTGAGGATGATTGGGATTTGGGGTCCTCCTGGGATTGGGAAGACCACAGTCGCTAGATTCGCATACAACCAACTCTACAACCATTTCCAACTGAGTGTCTTTATGGATGATATCAAAGCAAACTATTCAAGACTGTGTTCCGATGATTACAGCGCAAAATTGCAACTACAACAACAGTTTATGTCTCAAATAATCAACCATAAGGATATAGTGGTTTCGCATTTGGGAGTTGCCTCAAATAGGTTGAAGGACAAGAAAGTCCTTGTTGTTTTTGATGGCGTGGACCAGTCAGTTCAACTAGATGCGATGGCAAAAGAGACTTCGTGGTTTGGTCCCGGGAGTCGGATTATAATCACAACTCAAGATGAGAAACTTTTCAGAGCACATGATATCAACCATGTTTACAAGGTGGATTTACCAACAAATGATGAGGCTCTCCAAATCTTGTGTACGTATTCTTTTGGTCAAAAGTCTCCTAAAGATGGTTTTGAGGAGCTCGCTCGAGAAGTCACACAACTTGCTGGTGAACTCCCTTTAGGGCTAAGGGTTATGGGTTCTTACCTTCGTGGAATGTCCAAGCAAGAGTGGATAAATTTGCTACCAAGATTGAAGACTAGCCTTGACGCTGATATTCGAAGCATTTTGAAGTTCAGCTATGATGATTTAGATGATGAAGTTAGATATTTACTTCTTCATACAGCATGCTTAGTCAGCTCTGAAAAGATCCACAAAGTGGATGAGCATCTTACAAAGAAGTTCTTGAAAGTGAGGCAAAGACTTAACGTCTTAGCTGAGAAATCTCTTATATCTACGGACTCGGGATATATAAAGATGCGGAGTTTGTAAATAACTAGGTAGAAGCAATTGTTGGGAGGTGATGATCAATCAATGCAAGTTTTGTTTGCTTCTTTTGCTTTGTTTAATGTTAATGCTGCTATTCAGTATTTAACTATGTATTCACGGTTGAGAAACAAATAGAGAAATGGAAAAACATTCTACTTTTGTAAATGTAAATGATAAAAAATGCCAAATTGTGACAAGCATCATCTGAAATTTGTAGTAACCATAGAAATCTCTTTTGTAATACTTGATCGACAAACATAAGTCTCTGATTGATAAAACAAAGAAGAAAGTGATACAGCAAATAGAGAAGATGTAATCTAATCAGGTAGAGCCTCTTAACATTCCTGAATTGTGATATTAATCAGATGAGACCTTGACGTTGAAGATCAGAGTAAGTCTTCTTGTTGTAAACGTTACCGTCGCCATCTTCATATTCTTCTTCAACATCTGGCCTCCATTCATTAACTCCTCGCCTCTCCTGTATCCTCTTCCACAGTTCTTTCGCTTCCTGAAACAAACCACACATCAAAATTAAAACCAAAACTAAAACTCTTCCTTCTTCGGTAATAATAATAATACTAATATATTACCTCGATTGAAGTGATTTCGTTGAAGTTCTTTGTGTTTGGGATTCCTAAGCGACGCATTCCATTCTGGTGTCGAGACTCTTTAAAATGTCTCTCAAAAGCCCTTCTCCCCTTGTAGACATTGTCTGCACATATCTCGCATCCAAATTTCTACACACCAAAATAACAACCACATATAAGTTACATTAATTAACATTGATGGTCTAATAATAATAAACTCTTACTACATACCTGGCCAAGGCCATGAAGCTTGTAGAGCCAGTATGGTATAGGCTTCCCATCCCCACCCATTGGCAGATCCAGTGGATTGTAAAAACCACTCTCCTCCTCTTCATCACTTTCTATCTCTGCTCGTTCCTCCTCCCCCTCGCGTTCTTCCTCCATCTCTTCACACGTCAAGCCCTGCCTCTTTACAACGTTTTCCTTAGTCCTTCCGATTGTCTATACAAACAACAAAACAAAGTTAAAAATCTGACATGCTTAGGGAGAAAACAATATATAGATGTAGCATCAACTAACCTCATCGAGTAAGTTGCAGAGTTTCTTTACTTTGGCCTCTGTTAATGCAATATGTTTAGCATTGTTTGGCACCTGTGTCGTTGCTTTGGCATCTCCATTTCGTTTCCTTTTGAGCGAAGGTTTGGTGAAATGTTTCTTATCCAGCATTTCCAGATGCGTATGCTGAAAACATAAAACAAAAATTAATTAAGGGCATAAAACAACCTTTAAGGTAATAACATAAGCTACAAACAGAATACTACCAACTAAAAGAACAGAACAGAACTACTAATAAACAGATTAATCAAGTGTAAGAACCTTTGTTAGGAAGAGTCTCTCGGCACGCTGCTGCAGAGTACCACCAACTTTCAGTCCCAAAGCTCCCAGCGCCTGAGTCACAAAAAAAGACATAATTAGATGAATAATTCTTCAGTGGATCATACAAACAAACAAGAAGCATGGTCTTAATCATTACCTCCTTCAGCTTTTCAGGTCCCACATCAATCAATTCCTCAACTGTGGTGTAGCAATCAAGATCTATGACAGTATGCTCAGATTGAAAAATTCCATTTTCCTGGCAATGATTCTCCCAGCCTACTACTTGTCCATATGCAAATTGATCTTCAAAATCAATCTCAACCTGCAAGAAACCAAACATATTAGATGCAAGAAACCAAACTGCATGCACACAGAATGCCAAGCTATAATAATATGGTTCAAACCTTGGAAAGCATTTTGACAAGGTCTTGCAACGGCTCCGTACGCTGGAAAAAGTTGACCAAGTACTCTAGCAGAGATTCCATATACTTCCTGTATTGCCTTGAGAGCTTAAGTTTGCGAGGAATTTTCTCTAGACGAGAAAACACATCAAGGTAAACAGAATATTCAACCCTTCCCCCGAATTTAGAGTTAATGTACTGGTTATACATTTCATGCAAGTCCAAGTATCGACCACCTCCTTCCTGCACAGTACACAAGAAAAATTTAGAAATTATATAAACGAAATAATAATAATAATAATAATAATAATAATAATAATAAAACAGAAAATTACCTCTCCGCTGAAGGAAATAACTGGTTCCACCTTCAGAAGAGCTTCATAGTCTGCACTGGCATCAACAAGAGGTCTAGAAGGATACTTTCTATGATACTCACGTATCTGTAAGTTTTGTTAAAAAAAAAAAAAACGTTAGTTAGTTGCGTATCTGATAGTTTAAATATCATTAATGAAAATACAAAACAGGGATTAACAGTTGGCTCATATTCTCGACTGAACAATACTATTAAAAAGTAAGCCTAAGACAGATGCAAAAGGATGATAGAAAGCAAACCTCTTTCAAACGATTATAAAACACACTAAACACATTGATCCCTGTCACAGTCTCCCCACCAAGCCATGCCACCTCACTTTCCAAAGCTCCATCCTTATCTTCATAACTTTCAACCTGACAACCAACAACAAGAATCACAAGTTAGATACGAACTACGAGCAATTTACTGTTAAAAAGGCCTAAAGTGGGCCTCTATGATTGTTAATAAATAATAAGAGAACTCATTAGGTCACACAAACATATTAAAAAAAAAGCGTCACTCCACAACACCAACCTCTTTAGTTTCTTCTCAATTGTAAAAGATTCAAACCTGTTGAGAAAAAAAAAGTAGATTCAAAACCTAACCGCCTAAAAACTCAAAGCGATAACCAAAAACAAAAAACAAAAGCTGCATATTTTTTAAATCTATAAGAATAAGGAGGAGTTATAAACATACGAGGTTATCGATGGAACGCATGATAGAATGAACCATGTTGCGGACACGGTGGCCATGTGCCAATCTTTGCTTCTTCGAAGAAGATTGTGTCTGTAGATCTTCCACAACCACTCGCTCCAATCTTTCAATCTCCTCATGATTGGATCGAATTTGCTCGATGAGAGTCGATGCCATCTTCTCTGTTCCTTTATCTACGCGCGACAGGAACGGAAACCTAACTTATGTAATACGAATCTCGATGGCAATATTTATAGTCCTTGCTGACTAAATTTTGGGTTTGTTATTGGGCTTTTATAAGCGGTTTATGTTTTTTTAATTCCCTTTACTATTTGTAATATATTATTATTATTAGTATTTATTTTGACGGGCCTAAAGTGGACCTTAATGGGTTGACCAGGTCTTATGTCGGTTTATACATTTTTTTAGTGTTGAAGTTTGTATAAATGAGCATTAATTCCGAATCAGTATTCCAACAGTGCAACATACAGGTATTGATTGTAAATAAAAGAGCTACTATAGTCTCATATGATTAGATAAGGTTCTTTGGTTTTATTTAACTTTGTGGATTACAGTTTCGAGTTGATGAGATCTTGTGACTGAAAACATATGAGAATCACGGCTGGTTAAAAAAAAAAGCAGTGTAATATACACATCAACGACAATTAAAACAACATTCAACTATTCGACAACTTTCGGACATATGACTGAAGGGTGATTAACATACAATTAAAATAGACACCAATTCAAGAATCACAGCATCGTGTTTGAACAAAACAGAATAATCAATAAAAATTAAGTATTTCAATGGTGGAATCAGAATATCAATAAGCAAAATTAGGTACATGGTCTCAAAACTATATCGTTTTGATTCACATTTTTATTTGTTCCTCATTTTCTACCATTTCCACAAATAAAAACCAGAAAAATCAGCAGGCCAATCAACAAAACTAATTGTGCAAGCAATTTAGTTGTGAAATCAGAATATCAATAAGCAAAATTTGGTACATGGTCTCAAAACATTAAAGTCTTGATTCACATTTTATTTCTTCCTCATTTTCCACCTTTCCGACAAAAAAAACAACCGAAAAACAAATCAAATCCAGACATAAGAATATGTGTCCGACCAGATGATGCAGCACGAGATACTAAAAGATCGAATTAGAATCTGAAAATCCCCAATCGCTGACAGAGCACGACGAATAGGGACCTTGAATCCAGATTCTAATGCCGAAAAACGTCTCGAGCTGATATAAATCAGGAAGGAAAAAGACAGGTAAGTTTAACTAGGAGAACCCTAACTAAACAAACCCTATTAAAAATTCTATTTAGCGCAGCTATGACTCGACACGCTTCCATTGAGAGTTTTTGGAAGGCGATCTTAAGGGCTGCGCAAAAACTAAAAACCCTAATTTCAAAACATAAACCCTAATTTCATAGACCAATTGAGATAAGAAGCGAGAAGGCAATATATTCGGATGACAGTGTTTTTACCCTAATCCAACCTCAGCTGAAGGCATTGTTTGTAAAGCCCATAAAACATTTTAAGGCCCAATAGTCTTTTGTTTGTAAAGCCCATAATAACTTGATTTTGTCATCATGACGTGTCAAAAGATTAATGGATATAGATTAACTAAAACTGATATTTGCTAATTACAGTTATTAACGAACTTTACGTTTTGAGTCTTTGACTTTACCCTTTATTAATAAACAAATCTGAAATCCCCTACGGATAACATGCTCTTACGGCATATATTCACTTCCCAAAATAGTTACCACCCAAATTTAAAACCCGATTATCCAGATATAGAAAAACATTCCAATAATAGACACAATTCAAAATCCTCACCATTGCATATATATACACACACAACAGCATCCTCTAATCTCATCACAAACAGACAACAATAGCAAACAAAGTTTTGTGAGCAGACATGAGTTCCCACCAAACTGAAACACCGACGAATGATGACGCCGTGGTCCCAAAGACACAGTCGTCTGAGGACTTCGGAGAACCGTCGCCATTGAGAAAGATGATATCCGTGTCATCGATCGCCGCCGGTGTGCAGTTTGGATGGGCCTTACAGCTATCACTCCTCACCCCCTACGTTCAGCTTCTCGGTATCCCACATAAGTGGTCTTCTCTCATCTGGCTATGTGGTCCCATCTCCGGGATGCTTGTCCAGCCAACGGTCGGTTACTACAGCGACAGGTGCACGTCGAAATTCGGTCGTAGACGTCCTTTTATCGCGTCCGGAGCGGCTCTCGTCGCGGTCGCGGGTATTATGATAGGATACGCTGCTGATCTCGGACAAGCGACGGGGGATAAACTCGACGACGCGGTTAAGGTGAATGCCATATGGTTCTTCGCGCTAGGTTTCTGGATCCTCGACGTGGCGAACAACACTCTCCAAGGACCTTGCCGCGCGTTTTTAGCAGATTTAGCCGCTGGAGACGCGAGGAAAACGCGGACCGCAAACGCGTTTTTCTCGTTCTTCATGGCGGTTGGTAACATTTTGGGATACGCGGCGGGTTCTTACACCAACCTGCATAAGATATTCCCTTTCACGATGACTAAGGCTTGCGATCTTTACTGTGCCAATCTCAAGAGTTGTTTCTTCCTCTCTATTATCTTACTTTTATTAGTCACAATATCATCGCTCTGGTACGTTAAGGACAAGCAATGGGCACCGGCGAAAGGAGACTCAAACGTGAAAACACCGTTCTTCGGAGAGATCTTTGGAGCTTTCAGGGTGATGGAACGTCCCATGTGGATGTTGATAATTGTCACGGCGCTAAACTGGATCGCGTGGTTCCCTTTCCTTTTGTTCGATACTGATTGGATGGGTCGTGAAGTGTACGGTGGAGACTCAAGTGGAAACGACAATTTGAAGAGGCTTTACAACCAAGGAGTGCACGCTGGTGCGTTGGGACTTATGATAAATGCGATTGTTCTTGGGTTCGTGTCGCTTGGTATTGAATGGATTGGTCGGAAAATCGGTGGAGCTAAAAATCTTTGGGGAGCTGTGAACTTTATTCTTGCAGTGTGTTTGGGCATGACGGTTTTGGTTTCAAAGTATGCTGAGGCTCACAGGAAAGTTGCTGGTGAATTAGCCGGTCCGACCGATGGCATTAGAGCTGGTGCATTGACTATCTTCGGTTTTCTTGGTATTCCACTCGCTGTAAGTATCCATCTTGTCTCCTCTCATATTCTTTTGTTACTCTTATAACATATCCATTTGTTAATTTATTTTGTTGGTAATTACTATAGGTTACGTTCAGTATTCCATTCGCACTAGCTTCCATAATCTCAAGCGACTCTGGCGCAGGCCAAGGTATATATTTTTAATTTTTTTTTATATTATTTTGAATTATTGATGGGGTTTGGTCAAAGCATATATCAACTTTACCATGACCATATAGGGCTTTCATTGGGAGTTTTAAATTTGGCAATCGTGATACCACAAATGGTGGTGTCACTTGGAGCTGGACAGTTCGATGCATGGTTCGGAGGTGGAAACCTACCAGGATTTGTGGTCGGAGCAATTGCAGCGGCAATAAGTGGTGTAGTGGCAATCACCGTTCTGCCTTAGTGATATCTATTTATGTGTTTTTCACGGCCGGCTTTAATGATCTAATAATCCATAGAGCAATAAAGAGTTATTAGGCCAAATTTGAATTGTGTTTCTGTCTCTCAAAACCTTGTAATTTTCATTTGTTTGGTATGAACTATTTGATTTGTTGAATTTGATTTGCTACAAGCTTGTTTCATCATGATCTCTGAATCATTTTACTAGAACGTGTGGAACTAAAAAAGCAGTAGTACTAAACTAAACATTATTTAAAATAATGTTCCCATTGTCTCAAACTGTATACAAATAAACAAAGCAAGATTCCGTGTGAGAAAAGTAAAAAAAAAAACTATTCACATTTGAAAAACAAATAAATATATTTACAAATTAAACAAGTGGCATGATTTAATTGGATACCGGCTGCAAAGGAGGTCCTCTCGTGCATCTGTTTGTGAGTGAATTTTCGGAGCTCCACGTCTCCGGATAAAGATCCACGTCGTGACACGTCATCATCTCTTTCGTTTGGCTCCGCTCATAATCTATTCTCCAATTCATCCCTAACCAAAACCTCAGAAACTATCCCCCGCTTCGTAAGCTTTTCATGGTAGATGGCGGTTAAGCTACATCGACCGGGTCTCATATCGTCAAGGTAATTTCGAGTTCTATTTGCTTTCGGCTTTCTTCGATTCCATTGTCATTATCGTGAAATTACTTCCTCTCTATGATCTTACTTGTGTTTAGCGTGAAATTAGGTTAAGTTGAATGTTAGTTTATGCTTTAGTAACTTTATTCTTGGACTGAATCGTCCTTGACAGTGTAGTTTCAATTCTCGTTGCGTTTCCTCTGAGAGATTTACTAGTTGTGTGCAATTCAAGTGTTGGTGGTGATTCTAATAGGTAGAGATTTGGTTGCTTCTTGGTATAAACATCAAGGTTGGGTGAAGCTATGTTACTTTGCTAGAGCTCATATGGAAGAACATAGATATTTAACTAAACGAGGACGGCCTAGTGGTTTTGAGGGAGTTTCAGCCCCAATACGGACCGGGTTTGAATCTTAGTGGCTGTAAAATTTAAAATTTGGACTCGCCGTTAGTCTGGATCCACCTTAGTGGATGCCAGGATACACCGGGTTATTCAAAAAAAAAAAAATATTTAGCTGAGCTTCATGTACAATGTCAATGGTCATTGACAGTGGACAGTGTAGTTCAATTCTCGTTGCGTTTCCTCTTAGAAATTTACTAGTTGTGTGCAAGTCAAGTGTTGGTGGTGATTTAAATAGGTATAGATTTGGTTGCTTCTTGGTATAAACATCAAGGTTGGGTGAAGCTGTGTTACTTTGTTAGAGCTCATATGGAAGAAAATAGATATTTAACCAAGCGAGGACGGCCTAGTGGTCTTGAGGGAGCTTTGGCCTCAATACTGACATGGGTTCGAATTCCAGTGGATGCCAGGATACACCGAGTTATTAAAAAAATATATATATATATTTAGCTGAGCTTCATGTACAATGTTAAATCTGCTTGCCTGAGAAATTTAAAATGATGAATTTATATGATTCTATTTTCTGATAGTATTGCTTTTTAATTCATTACTCTTCTTGCCTTTGTAGCTCTTCAAACCCTTGTCTTTCTCGGATGTCTATTGGAACCTTTATTTCCTGCAGAAAGGTGGTGGAGTTGGATTATATATCGAACTTCTCTGGGAATTCGAGGAGACGGTTGTTTGTAACTTATGATGTTGTGGAAAGTAAGAAGATAGGCTGGTATAAATCGCAGAGGAGAATGCAGCCTTTTCTCCGTGCTTCTTCTGATGACGGTGTGGCTGTTAATGGGACTCCCCAGTCAAGAGCTAGCGATGATGTTGAGGAGATGAGGGCTAAACTCACTGGTTCTCTACAGGATGAGTATAACTGTGATGAACTCATTCAGTCTTTGCATGATGCTGCCAGAAGTTTTGAACTTGCCCTTAAAAAGAAGATTTCATCTTCCAAATTACCTTGGTTTTCAGCAGCTTGGTTGGGAGTCGATAGAAATGCTTGGGTTAAGACTTTTTCTTATCAGGTATGTACTACTCTGATTTACTTTCCGAGTGGTTACAGTAGCTGTTGTGTTTGCACCCGCCATTTTACCCATTTTCTTACCACTTGATGCAGTGGTTACAGTAGCTATTATAGATAAATTCTTTTTTTTTTCCGTTCATCATTCTCAGGCTGCCGTGTATTCCTTACTACAAGCTGCAAGTGAGGTTTCAACTAGAGGAAACAACAGAGACAAGGATCTTAATGTCTTTGTGCAAAGGAGGTACTGCATAACTTAATGGCATTCAGCGTTACTGGAACTTATCAACATTTTGTTGCGTATGTGTTTATTTATTTGCTATGAGTAATATTATACGTCTTGAACTTTAGCTGGTACGCAGTATGATAATCTTCCTAAGAGTTTCCTTTCACCAACTTTGAAATGTATCAAAAACTAATAGTTAACTAACAATCCCATACTGTTGCTTATGGATATGCCTGTTTTGATGTTTAAATAATCACATTGTGCAGTTTATCACGCCTAGCTGCCCCCCTTGATAGCATGATGCGGGATAAACTATCATCCAGTCACCCTGAAGCCAACGAATGGTTTTGGTCTGACCAAGTTCCTCCTGCGGTGACATCTTTTGTGAGTTGTTTTGAGGGGGACCAACGATTTGTTGCTGCTACTTCTGCGTATGTGATATTTTTTTAATCTTCATATTATTAAGTCATATCAAACACTCGTTTGACTGTTAAATCTTTGGAAAGTGATGATACTTTATTGTTTATTCCAGCTATGCCAAAGGCAAGTCCGCAGCTGCAAACAATGAGATTGAGGTGTCACTTCTCATGCTTGTGCTCAATTGCATTGCCGCAGTCACGAAACTTGGACCAACAAAACTTTCGTGCCCGCCCTTCTTTTCTATGATTCCGGATACTACAGGAAGATTGATGGACAAATTCGTTGACTTTGTTCCACTACCTCAGGCCTATCATTCAATGAAAAGCCTCGGTCTGCGCAGAGAATTTCTTGTTCACTTTGGACCACGGGCAGCGGCGTGCAGAGTAAAAAGTGATTGCTCTACCGATGAGGTTGTCTTCTGGGTCGATCTTATACAAAACCAACTGCTTCGGGCTATTGATAGGGAGAAAATATGGTCGAGATTAACAACGTCTGAAAGTATCGAGGTAATGAATAGAGAGTTGCAGTGTACACATCTAAGCAGCTTTTAACATCTATGTGCAGTGGGCATGTGAGCTCATAACAGTGTTTGAAATTATTAGAGTTATGTGCAATTATAGTTAACATAATTGCTTATTTAAATTTTTTTAAGAAAACAACCAAATCCATGTTAAGTTCTTTGATCATTTTCTGCCTTCTCTTGTAAATGTTGTTTAGAGTCTAAGAACGTGGTAGAAACAGTTCACAAGTGTATAACGATTCATAGTGTTTAGATTGTGAAAGTGTGCACTAACAGAATACTTTAATGTAAATATCTTGATAGTTTATACGGACCGGTTACTGTTGCCGTGCAGGTTTTGGAAAGAGATTTAGCTATTTTTGGATTCTTCATTGCTTTAGGCAGGAGCACCCAGTCTTTTTTAGCTGCTAATGGTTTTGATGCGCTGGAGAATCCTGTGGAAGACCTTGTCAGGTGACTCATTGTTTTTTCTTCTGTTGGCTTGCCATACTCTTCGTTCCACCCTACCACTTAAACTCGCAATCTTCTTTGGTCAGGCACTTCATTGGGGGCAGTCTCCTGCAATATCCTCAACTTTCAGCCATCAGTTCGTACCAGTTGTATGTAGAGGTAGGCATAAACCATACAGCCATTGGTAGAATTTTCCTTTAGCCATCTTGAAATTTATCATAGAAATTGATAGTGTAGGTTGTCTGCGAAGAACTAGACTGGCTTCCTTTCTATCCAAATAAAAAGGACCCGCAGGCAGCCAAACAAGCACATGGGCATAAAAGCAGACCAGAAGGGCCACCTAATTATGATGCTCTTCCTCAAATATTGAATGTTTGCTCTTATTGGCTACAGAGCTTTATCAAATACAGCAAATGGCCAGAAAACCCTTCTAATGTCAAGGCAGCAAAATTCTTATCCGCTGGGTATCTTACTTGTTTCTTGTCAAGTTTTTGGATTGTTAATGAAATAATTGGCTATCATATTTATATTCATTTTCAATTTTTAGGCACAAAAAGTTGATTCAGTGCAAGGAAGAACTGGGGATATCAAGGTAAGCAAAAGAGCGATAAATGGGATAGAAAGACATTTTTGCACCCTTATTATGTTGCGTGCCATTATTAAAAATCAAGTGATTTGATAGTCTGCTATTGGATCATGTGTGATGCAGTTTGGCAGTAACAGAAGCAGGGTTTATTGACATGAATGTATTATCAACTGAAGAGTCAAGCTCATTTGACAAGGTCGGTATTCTCTGTATTAGTCATGAACATTTTCTTTACTTTCCGTTCACCAACTGCTTCCTGATTTTTGTTTAGCACTCCAGTGACTATCAAATGTAACATAGCTACTGACAGCACTTATTTCACAGGCTCTAGAGAGTGTAGATGAAGCTCTCGTGAGATTGGAAAGCTTGCTACAGCAGTTGCATGCATCAAGCTCATCCTCTGGAAAGGAACAAATAAAAGCTGCTTGCTCTGACCTAGAGAAAATAAGGAAGCTTAAGAAGGAGGCTGAATTTTTAGAGGCGTCTTTCAGAGCCAAAGCAGCTTCCCTGCAAGAGGTGTGTAGTTGTTATATCAAATATTTCCTTTCATGCAGATACACCAATCTTAGCCCTTTTTACGAAGTGTGGATGACTAAAATCTCATGTGGTTCACTCAGGGAGGTGGTGATAGTGACTCTCAGGATTCCTCCGAGGAACAAAATGAGAATCTAATAGGAAAAGACGCAAAGAATTCATTAAGTTCTGTAGATCAAGGCACAAGGTATGTTGCATGTTCTTTTATCAATAATATCTTATGTTTTGAGTATAAGTTGTAGGTTCCCCTTCGTTGTCATCTCGTTGCAGAAACTTATTTATTGTTTTGCATCTACATTGGTAGGAAAGGTGGATTCTGGGGCTTCTTTGAGCGCCCTCCAAAGAGGAAGTCTGGCCCCAAGGTATTGGTATTCTTTAATGTATTATCTTGTGCGAAGCTATCTTAGACCAAAATTTTTGGGAATATTTCTGCACTTAGTCAGTCAATACGGTGCGAAGATGCGGTGTTAAAAGGTTTAGAATGTTTTTTACAATACGTAGGTAGATGAATATATTGAGAGGTCCACAGAAAACGTAGATGGCGTGGATTCCGAATCCAATGAGATATATCGGTTCGAACTTCTGAGGAATGAACTGATAGAGCTGGAGAAGCGGGTCCAAGGAAGTACAGATGAGTCCGTAAAGGAAGAGGTTAGTAAGTAGTAACCAGACTTTGTGTGTGTTCTTTCTTTCATGGGTGAAGCTTTTAACATGGTACCAGATACTCATTTGCGTCTATCTCACGAGTTCTAGCTCACATCACTTTGTTCCTTGACAATCAATTTGGCACGTTCTGCAGGGAATAACCTCTGGGGGTTCTCCTAAATCAAGCAGTAGTATGAAAGGTGTGGAGCTGGTTCAAAGCTCAAAGAAAGAAAGCGTCATTGAGAAAACACTCGACCAAATCAAAGAAACAAGCACGGTATGAAAGTCATTCCAAGCCTCATGGCACATTGATCAAATCAGTTTTTCTTGATTTGTTTTTGTCTACTTCATGTTCTTAGTTACTAACATTTCACTTTACTGTGATATTTTTTATAGGACGTGTGGCAAGGTACTCAGCTTCTTGCATTTGATTCAGCTGCTGCGATGGAGCTGCTTCGGAGGTCTGTAATAGGGGATGAGTTAACAGAGAAAGAAAAAAAATCTCTGCGCAGAACCATGACTGACTTGGCATCAGTTGTTCCCATTGGTGTTCTTATGCTTCTTCCTGTGAGTAAAAACTAACCTTCTCAAATTCACAAATATCAGTAAAAAGTAAAAGTTTTGTGTCACCACTTCCACAGTGGTATTATATTCATGGTTCGTCTGTACATAAAAATCACTGCACCGTTATGTTGTACCATTATCATTAGCAGTATGAGTTAGTGAACTAATCTAGCAGTTATGTCAAACAGGTCACAGCAGTTGGTCATGCGGCTATGCTGGCTGCAATTCAAAGATATGTGCCGGGCTTGGTAATACTTTCTTTGCTCTTCTTTTATTTTTTCTTTCGTAAAACTATGTTAACAAACATCCATCTTTGTTCAGATACCTTCAACCTACGGAACCGAAAGGTTGAACCTATTAAGACAGCTCGAGAAGGTCAAGCAAATGCAAAATGAAACAGAGCCTGAGGAAGGCATCGATGAAACAGAATCATGAATAGATTTCCAAGATGCAGAAATCACATTAAACCTCACCTTTTGTTCTATTATATAATTCATTGACAAGAGGTGTGCATAGAGAAGAATCTCATATCCATATATGTCTGGGCACGCCTGGTAGACACCAGTGGCTGCAGTCTTGAAGAGCATCAACAGGAGTACACCACGTGACGACCATCTTGCCTTTACTCTTGTCAGATATGTAATAATGTTGAGAAACGTAACCTTACTATGTTGATATGTCCATAGATATATATTGCGAGTTGCATCATTGTTTAACTAAACCGGAAACAGAACCGAAACTTAAACCGAACATTTAAAGCCAACACTCAGTGAGAGATAACCGACGACTGTAAACGGCTTTTGATCTTCTCCGAGAAAGTGAAGATGAAGCTAAAGGTGGTGTATCGTAAGGTCTCTGATTACATACGTTACGATCTCAAAGAAATCATCTTACCTTCATCACTTCCTGATCCTCCACACGTCGTTAAACACCGCAAATTGACTTGGCACGAGCAGTTTCTCGTGAGATTCCTTCACTCTTGTTTGAGCAGAAATGTTATTCAAAATAACTCGCTAGTAGTTGATAATGTTCGTAATTTAGGTGTTGAAGGAAGCTACAAGGCTTTATGGTGCAAGCTGGGTGAGAGACATAGGTCCTGAGCTTCGTCCAAATGATTACAAGAAGCATGGTGATGCTGAACCTAAGAAACAAGCCAAAGAGACTGAGAAAGAGCCCTCTGTTTTAGAAGATATTGGTAAAGAACTAATCTATTGTCTATTGTCTATCATTTTGTTCATAATCGCTTGTATTTTATTTTTTTCATTTTCTGTTACTCTTTGTTACAGCGGTAGCTGCAAGAGGTGGAATGGAGACTTTAAGGCCTGCGTTACAACGAGTGTACATGACACGAGCTTCTAATTACAAAGACGCTCTTTCAAGCTTTATCAAAGGTTACCATGAGGGTGTCCAGCAAGTTATGCATAGCAAACAAGAGTCTCAAGTCCCTAAAGATCATGAATCGGACAATTCTAAAAAAACTACCTGATCATTACTTGTTAGCTCCAAAAGTAGGATACATTAGTTTGATGTGCGAGTTATGCACTTTGCTACATCTTTGGTTTATTTGTTTGTGCCACAAGAATCCAGAGATTTCTATCTACTATGTAGTCCTTTGCGCAAAACCTAGCCTATTTTTGAAGCCACTTCTATCTTGTTGAAGCAACTCTAGTTATGGTTAAAAACATTTTTTAGACTATATACCTGTTTTATTCCCATGTTAAAAGCATTGTTGACCTTAAGTTAGTGGAATTAAATCCATGCTATCTTCTGAACAGTCTTCCATAATGCTGTTCCAGGAAAGTTTGGCTGGGACTTGAAGTCATTCAAAAGCATATAGATATCAGATAGATTTTCAGGGGGGAAAAAGTTGAGCAGTCGATTCAGAATTGTACTTTAAGTGATGTTATGATCAAAACTTTATCTGCAGGAACTAACTCCTTATGCAGGAGAAGCCACTAAGCATCTTAACTGTAGACAAAAGCTTGAAAGACTAGTGATAATGGCACATGTCTTGAAGGGTCCTTCTCCCACTTGTTGAGCCACTAAACCATTGGGCGGAGATCAGTTTTGCCTTCAAGTCAACAAGTAAGTATCTTCCCTGAATCTGTTTGGGCCCTTAGAGAATAACCTGTTGCTAAGTAAGAAAGTAGATTAAAGTATATACAGAATTACCTGTTGAATATCAACCCATGCTGTCAAGTCAAAAAAAATGTGTCTGCCTTTAAAGATTAGCACTTTGTTTACTGCACACAAAGTTTGAACATGTGCGCATACAACCAGGGCATTTGTAGTTAGTGAGTTGTCAGCATTGTATTGTTTCCATCTTCTGTCTAATCAAGACTTAGCTTTACTCCATTGGTGCCATAGTTAATCTAGAGATGGCAATTTTCTTTTCTCTTACTCAGAAGTCATAACCAAACTGTAGCTACCACACTACCATATGATCAAGGCTTATAAAACCCCATGTGGTAATAGTTTCTTGAGATATAAAATGATGAAGAAACAATGTATGTGCTAGATAAAGATATACCATAATCTCTTTTTGGAAGCACATGGATGTGGATAACCGATCCAATGATTGATATTTTATTTGATATGTAATGAGAGATAAATGTTAAAAGGCACTAAAAGAAGCAGCACATGAACATACAATCGCTTTCAACAGATGATTCACTGTTCATCTGACCTAAGTACATGTAAAAAAGAACAGGTTCTTGTAGGACTCTCTCCCAATGTTATTTCTGTTTTTGTCATCAAATTGTATAGGACTACTATTTATGTATTACTTGCCAATTAAAGGACAAAAATACATTATAAACATGTGACTTTGATTGATTTGATATTTAGTTAAAATATTGAATTGAACCGTGCCTTACACATGTTTGGTTTGCTTGCAAGAGAAACAAACTATTGAAGGAGCTTAGTGAAAGGTAAAAACATAACTATAGTAACTCCAATACAATAATAAATCATATTAAAATCTTGAACTGAATTATGCCTTTAAGTATTTTGCTTTACTTGCAAGAGAAAACTATTGAAGAAGCTAGTGAAAAGTTAAAATAGTAACTCCAATACAATAAATCATCACTTGGTTGGCCCCACTTTTTTTTTTATAGTAATCGTTTTGAAATGAAGAAAAGAGATCATCATCAGACAAGTACAAGTACACACCATGATGCATGTGTGTGGGATATATACATCATCTGATCATCATCATCAATCATCATGAGGTGTAATATTCATTTTTTTCTGACTTTGGAAGTACAAGGACAAAGAAAAAAGAGTTTTCCTAAAATTCAGCGATCTGTTTTCTCCTTTCTAATTTATTTTTTTCCAAATTATTTACATACAGTACGGAAGCCAATGAGATGTTTCTTTATTAAAATTGCATACAAATTTTCCAGAGAATTGGCTAAAGAGAATGTGCAAAGTCTGACTCTCGTAAAAGCCTTTAGTCATTTCTTGTCACGTCTTTGGATCTCTCATCCTCGTCTATCTCCAACCTGCTTCATCGTATCTCCCGTGAAACCTATGTTCTGTTTTCATAATTTTTTCCCAAAAATTATCACTCATTATTTTATAACATAGATACAAAGTAGCATGCAATATAATATAATATCTAATCTGGAATACATAACATCAATTTAGTACACATTTCCTTACTCATGTTCATTTTCTTTTTCCTTTTCTTTTCTAACAGTTAACAATTTGTTAAAATACAACCATGATTAATTAATCATCGTATACCAAAGTTAATGAAAGTGGGCTCTAACAAAACAAAGTGGCCATGTGCGACTGCTCAAAAAGTCTATAACTCTTCACTATATTATTAACTAACACACCCAAAAACAAATCTCCTAATCAATCTCGTTTATTTAATTATATTTTCAAACTGTCTCATCTCGAGAAACAGCGTCGCCCATGTGTATTTATAATCACGTATCTTAAAAACTATAGTATCAATGATGATGTAATGTACCCAACTTGTAACAGATATATAAGGTAAAATAATAAAATTACCATGTTATGAGGCTGGGGAGTGTAATAAGTGTACATGTTTTGACCGTAGTAGCTGTCACGATGAGGACACTCAGCAGCAGCGGCTGCCGTTGTGACCGAATCATCTCCTTCGTCTTCATCCATTTGACACTCCAAATTCACACCGAAAAGCCTCACCGTCCTCGAGCTCCCGACGGCGGAAGAGGACGGTTTGGAGTGAGTCTCCGACGCTGATGCTAAGGCGGCTCCTGTAATCTCGACACGTGCGCTTCATTAATATATCGAAAGAAACAAAGACAAGAACATAACTGAACAAAAATCACGTTTCTCCCAGGAGATTGGACGGTCTTCTTCACGCGCTCTTATATAGACAACTTGGTGATAATAAGTAATAGAAGCTGTCGGGTCTTTTTAAAAATTAGAAAAAAAATCATAGCTGTATTATAGAAACTCACGTTGTTAATAACGCACGTAATTATAGGTATTCATGTAGAACTAAATAATAATTATCATACACTATCAGAATAAAACTTATAAATCTATATGACGTTTAATGTTGTAATCCTCCCGACAACATAAGATTAGTTGATAATGCTTCTGAACACGATTACAGAAATACAAAATAACCTGGAATTATTTTATCGTATATATATATATATATTATATAGCAAGTAAATATAAGGGTAATTCTCTCAAATAACATTTTTTAAGTTTTTATAAAAAAAATAGATCTAAAACATTAAAATGACCAAAATAACACTTTTTATTTTGAAAATTTTAAGTTTTTTTTTTAAAAAAAAAAAAAATTTGAAACCCTATCCCGAAAACTCCATTACTCAACTTTAAACAAAAAAAACTTAGGATTAGTTAACCCAAAGGGTATAAATATATATTTAATAAAACATTTAAGTCTTATTTTAGTTATTTTAATTGTTAAGGTCTATATGTGACAAAAAAAATAGGTCTGTTTTAGTCATTTTTTCTAAATATAAAATGAAAATAATAATATGGTAATTATAAGGAGAAATAATATAATATTAATATTAACATACCATAGTGTGAATACTCTGAGTGAGTATGATTAGTAGAGTAATGACTAGAGGCGTTGATTTGAAGATAAGGAGGAGCTGCCATGGAACTAAAACACGACGTCGTATTCGCAGCAGAAGAGGAGCCTTGGCCGCGTCTACGCCAGCCAATGAAGAGTCTCCGAGGATCAGAACGTTGTCGTTGAAAGAAAACAACATCTCCAGGATCTAGCTGTTTGTCTTTGACGTATCTGCTCCATCCTTTAGTCAAAACATAGCTTTGACTACTGTTCCAGTAAGAGTATCTGAACCTCCAACACTTCCCTGACTCGTCTTCGAAGCTTAGAAGCATCCCTTTCTCCGAGGACGACGTGTCAGCATTGTTGGAGATGACGGTGTTGAGAGGGAAGTACTTCTCTGCTTGCTGTTTAGGTATAACGAGACGGTTGAGTTTACCAACGTCGCTTGGTGTGAGAGACTTCTCGAAGAGAGACTCTTTTTGGTCTTCGTTGAGTGTGGTTGGCTGTGATGTGTCGGTGGTGTGAAGGTGGTGCCAGAAGAGAGTGTGGTGGTGGTGGTCCGTGGAGTAATGGTTGACTGACATTTTTTTTTTATGAATGGGGAGAGAGTAGAGAAAGGGGTTAGGTGAAAGAGAGAGGTGGGTACTCGTAGTACTAATATAGTATGATACGAAGGAAAGAGAAGGTTAAAAAAAATTTGACGTGAAAACATTGGCTAAACTATTTGAGGAGAGAGCAGCACACGACAACCATACGACTTTCTTTTAAGGTTTTGCGTGATGTTTTATCTTTTTCCATCATTATTACCTTTTTTCTACTTCTTACAGTATTTTTCTGGATTTCCTATTTTTATTTATTTATTCTATTTGTCTCTCTCTATCTATCATTATTACCATTATATACATAATATGTGCTATATTGATAGTTTTTATGTGCTATCTTGATAGTTGATAGTAGTATTTTTCTTGAACACATTGGATCACTTCAATTTTATTTAGATCTTTTATAGGAAAGCTTGAACACTTTATTTACAAAAAAAAAAATGTTAATTTTGCATAATTTTCAGGGGATGTAGAATGTAATCCTCAGGTGAGGACCAGACCAGGTAGGTGATTAGGAGGATGCTCTAGACAAGAAATAGAAAAGATTTTATAAAAAGAAAAGGTTAAGCTACACGAAAACCCAAAGAATCATCCCATATAGAGCTAGAAGTATCTGAATATTTGAAAACAAAATGCAATTAACTGGAAAGAAAAAATGAAAATGTCATGATGTCACTTTATCTATTACATCTTGGGGAAACCATTATGTTCTTTGCGTGTTTCTCAAAAAAAATGTTACCAAAAGAAGAGAACAAGGATATGGTCCTTGATATTTTGACGCAATTAATAGACATCATATATATGGATACGCATTTTATTAGTAAAAGCTAGACGTAAATTCACAGTCAATTGTGATAAATACATGATACGTATATTTTAGTCGTGTTGTTCAATGCACTAACGTTACCATTCGTCATCAGTGTTAGATTTCAGGTAATTTATATTTATTTTCAGCGCTGACGTACACAATTGAAGTTGGCATTGGCAATGGCATTAGCATTACACTAGAATTTGCAGCTTTATGATCTTTTCTAATAGGTTCGACACATTTTTTTTTTGTTTTTTAAACGCTGCGTACGCATACTATATTTGTTTATTGAATCTATTGAAGGCAAATAAAAAAATGAGAAACGATTGGGAGGTCTAAGAGGTAAGTAGGAGTAAAAGGCTGGCAGTATAGCTGCCTAATATATTATAAAAACTACTGAATTAGGACGAGAATTTTTGATCTTCAGCTCAGTTGAGAAGAAAAAAACTAGCATATCTTAAATAATTACGCATTTTTATTTTTGTATTTTATATTTTTACTTATATTTACTCCGTCCATCTAACCTAACCCCTGCAAAGGCTAATATAATAAATTAAATATAATTATTGCATTTATCAATTTGGTTAATTAAAATATATTCTGCATGACATAGTTTGGGAAAAAAGCAAAAACAATGTCCATTCATCACTGAAAGGATGAAAACAACAAACATAACCCTTTTTCTTTTGGGGAGACTAATGTAGTTTATATAAAATTATATGTAGTAGATTTAAGTAGCTGTGGAGATTTTTGATAAGTTATGAAGCAATTTGTTTTAAACGAAAAGAGAGTAGTAGCAAAGCCACATAAAGAACTAAATAAAAATTTAGTAATTGAATACTACAATAACAGAAGATGGCGTGGAACCGAACCGAAGAAGGATGATGGAAGCATGATGAAGGAAGAAAGAGGTCCAACGGCTGAGATGGCGTTTGGATATTTTCACACATAAAGTAAAGAGTAAAGAGCACAAGAAGAGAGATTCTTAGCCTTCACGCAACTTGGTTAAGCATGTGCATTGCCTTTCCCACACACACTAGTCCATGCATTCATCTTCAGTTCTTCTCTCGCTATTTTTTGTTCTTTTTTACATTTTCCTTTCACTCCCTGGAGACTATTAGACTACAAAACGCTATACATTTCACATGTTTCATATTGGATAGTTTTGTGCTCTTGCAGTTAATTAACATATACAAAAAAAAAAACAAATAATAGTGGGCGTCGTTAATTACATCACATCTATAATAAAAAAAAAAGTAGTACTCGCATATGTTGTTATATGAGCAATTTGTTTTTCCTAGAAGCCATTCATCAATCACAGCAACTACATGAGCAAATTGTCTCTCCACAAGAAGAAAAGGACATGAAGAAATCTGCGATGAATATCGTGGAGGGTGTCTATAACCTGCAAGTATCTTTATTTAATTGTCCATAGACGACAATCTTCATTTGTTATTTTTGAAAGTGGTGCAAGAAGCTTCACTGAGCTTCGAGTAAGTTGCTATTTTCTATTCTTATTATTATGCATATCTATGACATTTTCTCACTTCCCTAGTAAAATAGCACACTCTCTTTATATGTTTGTGTCCACGAAAATGTTCCCATTTAGTTGCAGTTATAATACTACGTACCAATAGCGGATTCACTCATGTTAACTAACCTCATTCGATTAAGTTGAAACTAATAGTGTATATTATACAATATACAAATAGGTTAAGTACGTTGAGGAATCGAGGCTTTGAATTACTAACCTGTATTTTGTATAATGTGTTAAGATTTAGTGCTCTGACGAAGTTCAAAAGTGTGAATTTTGGGTGTGGTTATAAACTTTTAGAAAATAACATAACTGTATATAGTATAGGAACATGCACTGCAAATTGATCTGATGTGATTTAACTGTTAACTCTAGTTGAAAATGTACCAGATTTGAGTATATTCACAGTTGAAAACATGTATAGTCTATAGACAAGTAGAGTGATAGTTTAAAATTTCAAAATAATAGCCTGTATAAATATATATATATATATATATATTTTCATATAATAAGGTTAATATCTGCTCAGAAAGGGGACCAGAAATCTCTTGCTGTATTCTCTAAATTCTAAGCAAAACTGGCCTGGAAGAGGGAGGTGACCACACATTTTCCTCTTGTTTTATCTTTCTAATTAATTGATAGTATATAATAAACATTCATCTGCACTGTTACAAACAACAAAGTTAAATGCAGCCGATTTCTTGGACTTAGACAGCTAGACACTTGAATTTTAGTTTTGAACTTCATATTTTAAAATTTGTGGTGACCTTTAGATAACAACAAATTCCAATATTTGGAGACAAGATCATATTACACACCTAATAAAATAGTACAAACAAAATTTAATGTAAAGTACTATTGAAAAATGAAAACACTATATACTAGTTAATATCTTAAACCATTTCAATTGGGGCTACATTTGGTATCTCGATTGGCCAGCTCCTCTCAATGGAGTTACAAACCAGTCAAGTGGACCGCTATGCTCTTGCTTGCTCACTGTGAGTTATGCAACTCTCTTTGTCAAACATAATCTATCTCACACACTCACACATTGATGCGTCTGAATATCGAATTAGTCTAGTTGGTATATTAGACGACAGGTCAGGCCAGCTCCTGTCTGAGTGTCTGTGGAGTTAAACCAGTGGAGTGAATCGGGCCAATCGAAGACATGCCATTGACACACTTAATGGGCCATTCGTAGAGTCTTCAATCGCTTAACGGGCCCTTCCCTTAAGCATTGGGCTTACTACAGACAACCAAGTCTAATGCATAGACATTTACGATTTTAACCTTACATATTACACTCTGATCCATCAGAATAAAAACCCTAACCCTAATCTCAGCCAGCTTCAGAAGCAGTAGTAGTGAAGCTTTCGTAACCCTAAAATCCACAGGCGAAGATGGGACGCGTCCGAACCAAGACGGTGAAGAAATCATCTCGTCAAGTGATCGAGAAGTACTACTCTCGCATGACACTCGACTTCCACACGAACAAAAAGATCCTCGAAGAAGTAGCGATCATCCCTTCAAAACGTCTACGCAACAAGATTGCTGGATTCTCCACTCATCTCATGAAGAGGATACAGAAGGGACCTGTCCGTGGAATCTCACTCAAGCTTCAGGAGGAAGAGCGTGAGCGCCGCATGGACTTTGTCCCCGACGAATCCGCTATTAAAACCGATCACATAGAGGTTGATAAGGAGACTCTAGACATGCTTGCGTCTTTGGGAATGGGGGATTTGCCAGGTGTCGTTAAGGTGGAGCCTGTTTCTGCTGCTCCTATTGCTGCCTTTGGACGTGGAAGGAGGTTTTAGAAGAATAGATGTTGGTTGCTTAAGTTACGTGTTATATCTGTTTTGATTTTGGTGAATTTTGGAATGCTTTATAAGGTTTAATACGTTACTTTGATCGGTTTGTTAATGCATTCGTTAGAGAACACATGTAGTACTCACCATGCTCCTACCTCTCATGGTGATACAGAATCTACCAATTTGAACAAAATGAGATACTGTTCATTGATGTGACTTGTGATATTATTTGATCATTGACTTAACTATTAACAGTAAAAAAATTGTTCATTGGTTATCTAGCCTTTTGATAAACAGACCAAGTCACATATTAAGTGGTATATGAATGTTAAATAAATTAATCATTGGAAAATTAGAAATTATTCACATGTACCATAGAGAAAATAGAAATTTTATTGGGGTTAATGCACATATTAAGTGGTATATGAATATTAAATAAATTAATCATTGGAAAATTAGAAATTATTCACATGTACCATAAAGATAAGTTTAGCAAACATATATAAATATTTGGAGTGGGTTTAGGTATTTTTTAAACAACACGAAAGATGGTAAATAGTATATAAAATATTTAACTAGAAAATTCAGGTTTTTCATAGTGGTTAGCCCACATATTTCAAAATTTTTATAAAAAATAGAACTTTTGTTTTAATGCATCATACACCGCCATAGTATGAATATTAAATAGGTTTGAGACCTTAAATGTTTTCGTTTCTCTAGAAAATTGGATTTTTATTGGGGTTAATCCACATATTAAGTGGTATTTGATTGTTAAATAAATTAATTATTGGAAAATTTTAAATGATTCACATGTACCATAAATATAAGTTTAGCAAACATATATAAATATTTGGAGTGGGTTTAGGTATTTTTTAAACAACAGGAAAGATGGTAAATAGTATATAAAGTATTTAACAAGAAAATTCAGCTTTTTCATAGTGGTTAGCCCACATATTTCAAAATTTTTATGAAAAATAGAATTTTGGTTTTAATGCATAGATGCATCATACACCGCCATAGTATGAATATTAAATAGGTTGAGACCTTAAATGTTTTCGTTTCTCAAGAAAATAAATTTTTATTGGGGTTAATCCACATATTAAGTGGTGTATGAATGTTAAATATATTAATTATTGGAAAATTTGAAATGATTCACATGTACCATAAAGATAAGTTTAGCAAAAATATATAAATATTTGGAGTGGGTTTAGGTATTTTTTAAAAAACACGAAAGATGGTAAATAGTATATATAGTATTTAACTAGAAAATTCAGGTTTTTCATAGGGGTTATCAAGAAAAATTATAAAAAATAGAATTTTTGTTTTAATGCATAGATGCATCATACACCGCCATAGTATGAATATTAAATAGGTTTGAGACCTTAAATGTTTCCGTTTCTCTAGAAAATTGGATTTTTATTGGGGTTAATCCACATATTAAGTGGTATTTGAATGTTAAATAAATTAATCATTGGAAAATTTAAAATGATTCAGATATACCATAAAGATAAGTTTAGAAAACATATATAAATATTTGGAGTGGGTTTAGGTATTTTTTAAACAACACGAAAGATGGTAAATAGTATATATAGTATTTAACTAGAAAATTCAGGTTTTTCATAGGGGTTAGCCCACATATTTCAAGAAAAATTATCAAAAATGGAATTTTTGTTTTAATGCATAGCTACATCATACACCGCTATAGTATGAATATTAANTTGGAGTGGGTTTAGGTATTTTTTAAACAACACGAAAGATGGTAAATAGTATATATAGTATTTAACTAGAAAATTCAGGTTTTTCATAGGGGTTAGCCCACATATTTCAAGAAAAATTATCAAAAATGGAATTTTTGTTTTAATGCATAGCTACATCATACACCGCTATAGTATGAATATTAAATAGGTTTGAGACCTTTAAATGCTTTCGTTTCTCAAGAAAATAGAATTTTTATTGGGGTTAATGCACATATTAAGTGGTATATGAAAGTTAAATAAATTAATCATTGGAAAATTTGAAATGATTCACATGTACCACAAAGATAAGTTTAGAAAACATATATAAATATTTGGAGTGGGTTTAGGTATTTTTTAAACAACACGAAAGATGGTAGATTGTATATAAAGTATTTAACTAGAAAATTCAGGTTTTTCATAGTGGTTAGCCCACATATTTCAAAAATTTTATAAAAATGGAATTTTTGTTTTAATGCATAGATGCATCATACACCGCCATAGTATGAATATTAAATAGGTTTGAGATCTTAAATGTTTTCGTTTCTCTAGAAAATTGGATTTTTATTGGGGTTAATCCACATATTAAGTGGTATATGAATGTTAAATAAATTAATCATTGAAAAATTAGAAATTATTCACATGTACCATAAAGATAAGTTTAGCAAACATATATAAATATTTGGAGTGGGTTTAGGTATTTTTTAAACAACACGAAAGATGGTAAATAGTATATAAATTATTTAACTAGAAAATTTAAATTTTTCATAGTGGTTAGCCCACATATTTCAAAAATTTTGTAAAAAAATAGAATTTTTGTTTTAATGCATAGATGCATCATACACCGCCATAGTATGAATATTAAATAGGTTTGAGACCTTAAATGTTTTCGTTTCTCTAGAAAATTGGATTTTTATTGGGGTTAATCCACATATTAAGTGGTATTTGAATGTTAAATAAATTAATTATTGGAAAATTTGAAATGATTCACATGTACCATAAAGATAAGTTTAGCAAACATATATAAATATTTGGAGTGGGTTTATGTATTTTTTAAACAACACGAAAGATGGTAAATAGTATATATAGTATTTAACTAGAAATTCAGGTTTTTCATAGTGGTTAGCCCACATATTTCAAAAATTTTATAAAAAATTGAACTTTTGTTTTAATGCATAGATGCATCATACACTGCCATAGTACGATCATTAAATAGGTTTGAGACCTTAAATGTTTTCGTTTCTCCAGAAAATAGGATTTTTATTGGGGTTAATCCACATATTAAGTGGTGTATGAATGTTAAATATATTAATCATTGGAAAAATTTGAAATGATTCACATGTACCATAAAGATAATTTTAGCAAACATATATAAATATTTGGAGTGGGTTTAGGTATTTTTTTAAACAACACGAAAGATGGTAAATAGTATATATAGTATTTAACTAGAAAATTCAGTTTTTTCATAGGGGTTAGCCCTCATATTTCAAGAAAAATTATCAAAAATGGAATTTTTGTTTTAATGCATAGCTACATCATACACCGCTATAGTATTAATATTAAATAAGTTTGAGACCTTAAATGTTTTCGTTTCTTANATGTACCATAAAGATAAGTTTAGCAAACATATATAAATATTTGGAGTGGGTTTAGGTATTTTTTAAACAACACGAAAGATGGTAAATAGTATATAAAGTATTTAACTAGAAAATTCAGGTTTTTCATAGTGGTTAGCCCACATATTTCAAAATTTTTATAAAAAATAGAACTTTTGTTTTAATGCATAGATGCATCATAAACCGCCATAGTATGAATATTAAATAGGTTTGAGACCTTAAATGTTTTCGTTTCTCTAGAAAATTGGATTTTTATTGGGGTTAATCCACATATTAACTCGTATTTGAATGTTAAATAAATTAATTATTAAAATTTGAAATGATTCACATGTACCATAAATATAAGTTTAGCAAACAGATATAAATATTTGGAGTGGGTTTAGGTATTTTTTAAACAACAGGAAATATGGTAAATAGTATATAAAGTATTTAACTAGAAAATTCAGCTTTTTCATAAAGGTTAGCCCACATATTTCAAAAATTTTATAAAAAATAGAATTTTTGTTTTAATGCATAGATGCATCATACACCGCTATAGTATTAATATTAAATAGGTTTAAGACCTTAAATGTTTTCGTTTCTCCAGAAAATAGGATTTTTATTGGGGTTAATCCACATATTAAGTGGTGTATGAATGTTAAATATATTAATTATTGTAAAATTTGAAATGATTCACATGTACCATAAAGATAAGATTAGCAAACATATATAAATATTTGGAGTGGGTTTAGGTATTTTTTAAACAACACGAAAGATGGTAAATAGTATATATAGTATTTAACTAGAAAATTCAGGTTTTTCATAGGGGTTAAGCCCACATATTTCAAGAAAAATTATCAAAAATGGAATTTTTTGTTTTAATGCATAGCTACATCATACACCGCTATAGTATGAATATTAAATAGGTTTGAGACCTTTAAATGTTTTCGTTTCTCAAGAAAATAGAAATTTTATTGGGGTTAATGCACATATTAAGTGGTATATGAATGTTAAATAAATTAATCATTGGAAAATTAGAAATTATTCACATGTACCATAAAGATAAGTT